GCTGCCTTGTTCTCCCCAGCAGGGAAGGGCTCTGGGGGTGTCTCGTCTGACTCTGCTCACAGCCCTGTGCTCTCCCCTCCCCAGGCAGTCCCAGCCCACGGTGGTGCCATGCCATGTGCCTCGGTGACCTGGGGACAGCTGTTCTGATCGGTGGAGAAGGTGTCAATCAGCAGTCCTGCAAGGATGCAGTCTGGAAGCTGGAAATTGGTGGGGACTTTAGGGCTATCAAAGGCAATGGGGGCAGTGGGACTCGAGGACAACTCATGCAGATGGGAGGGGGTACTCAGGGGTCTGTGCATAGGGAGGGGACAGCAAAGGTGTCACATCTCCTAGCATGGTCACCAGGCTGAGCTGACAGTGTAGGGTGCCATGAGAGGCTGTGGGGTTGTATGTGAGAGCCCTCCAGGAGATAAGGTATAAGTTCTGGAAAGAGTTGGGTGAATTTTAAGGGGTAAAAGCAACAGCGCGGTTTGCAGTCTGTGTGTGATGACTGGTGGAGAAGTGCGAGATACAATTCCAGTGCCTTGCAGCTTTCTGCATCTCACCAATCCTCTCTTCCACCTTACTATTCCCCACCTGGTTAGTGCTCCCCTTTATTCCTTACACAGAAACATTTCTGTATGAGTCCCCTCTAGCCCTGAATCAAAGGAGAGGAGGAGATGAAGGGAGCAAGGTCTTGAGTAAAGACTTTATGACATATTCTTTAAATCTGGAGAAATCGAGAGCATCTTTGAACTCCCACACCATCTGTCTGGTGTTGCTCCCACAGACAGTGATTTCTGGCTTCCAGTGGGTTTCCAGCTACAAAACGCCATGCCATTGTGCTTGCATGGTCACACAGCTACCTACGACCCAGACACCAAGCGTATCTACATCTTTGGGGGCATAAGGGAGGACAAAGACTACAGTGGCATCTACATTCTGGACACAGTCACCTGGAAATGGCTCCTCGTGGCTGTAAGTACTGCAGCTCTTCCAAGACAAAAGCACAGGAGGGGTGGCAGGTCCTGCCTGAATGTGGCAATCAATGTGCCCGTATCCTTATTCCAGTAGTCTTGGTCCACTGTCGCTGCAGGTTGTCTGAGCTGCTTAGTTGGCATTGACAGATATAAGGCGGCTATGTTGAAAGGCCACAAGTTTGGCAGAAACCAGGGGCTGTGCCTACAATGAATGAAGCAAGGTGAAAAAATGGTTGCTGCAGAGTGCTATGTCTGACCAAGGTTGTGGGTGGGAGGTACTGTACAAGCAGCCTCTCATATGGTGCTATTGAGAGCTGCACTGGATGCTGAGGTGAAGAGCTGGTCCTCTCAAATCAGGGACTGCTCTGAGCACAGCAGATCTCTGAGCTCTTTAGTTGCCTGTCATGTCCTTGCAGGGGGCCCTGTCAGCGAGGGACTGTCTGTCTCTTTCCTGGCTAAGGCACAAGATGGCTTTTACAGAATAAGCCTGGATGAGATCTTTCTGTTCTCTGTCGTCTTCTGAGGAAGCTGGGGTAGGAGGTTGACTTCTTTCTCTCATCAGAGCATTCTGGTAGTGCAGAGTACACAAAAGGATGTACTGTCTGCCTGTGTGGCAAAGATCTAGCTGGGGAGCCAATAAAGTGAAAATTGAGACTTGTCAAACTCACTGCATGATGTGGGCCCCTTTCCTACAGGTCATGCAGCAAATAAAGCGTTTCTCATAAGAAACGTATGTTGAACTTTTTCCAGGCTAAAGGGAGGATGCCAGTGCTCACCTACCACAGCGCAACTATCTACCGCAAGGAGCTCTTTGTTTTTGGAGGGACATTCCCCAAAAAGGCATCACTGGCAGTTGGACCCTGCAGCAATGTGCTCTATGTCTTCAATCCAGAGCATGAAATTTGGTATCAGCCCATCTCAGAAGGGGAGAAGCCTCTGCCTAGGCTTGGGTGAGAGTGCTCTTATTGCAGCCGTCCAAAATAGAGCAGGAAACCTCTGCTCACCTTCCCTCCCACCCCAGTGTAATTTCCTAAATATTAGGTGATTGTTCTCCACTGTTTGCTCCTTAAGATAGGGCTATGTTTTGAGCAATGTGACTCCCGTTACCTCCTGTCATGAATCCTGATGGGATTCTGTCCTTGGGCTGCAGTGGCTGGGGGTAGAGGCAGGTGCAGGCTGAAGCTGTGGCAGCCCAATAGCAGGAGCCAAGGCTGAAACGTCAGGTTTGGGAACTTGCTGAACATGCTTTGTTCACTTGTTTCTTCTCTGCCCAGGCACTCAGCTACTTTACTGAAGAACAAGCTGCTGATTTTTGGGGGTCGGAGGACTTCTCTCTACCTCAGTGACATGCACATCCTGGATCTGGGTAAGAAAGTCTGTGCCAGATGGCTGCCTTGGCAAGGTCCATTCTAAGGCAGGGACTGGGGAATGAGGCATACTCAGTGGGAAGGTAGCAATGACGTTATAAAAACTCCTGACTAGGCAATGGAGATGGAAAACTCTGGGGCAAAAAAACCCCTTTCTGGTATAAGAGAGGAGGGAATGGGGAAAAACAAGAGACTGCTTTTTTGGAAGAAGCTGGGTAATAGAGAAGGTAGGTTGCTGATGTGGCAGCATATGGAAGTTTTTGTCTAGTTATGAGGCTGAGCTTTTTGGACATTTCACCTGCCTTTCCCCTGGTTGTCAGGTTTCATGGAGTACACACCAGTCCCCCTCCTCGCAGGACAGCCTTCCGCACGTTGGTAAGATCCTATTGCAGACCCAGAAGCTATCTTCTTCCTCTGTCCTTTCTCTTTGAAGCCAGGTTTAAATGGTGCTTGTGATCAGACCCAGTTGCATCTCTCTGTCCCACTAGTCAAAATACAGTGGATGGTCCCTCTGTGGGACCAGAAATTCCTGTGCTGTCCTAGTTGGTGCCTGTAGGGTGTGGGGGTACAGACCCCTTAGTCTCCCTGGAAATCTGCCTTTCAGGCTAGGGGAAGTTTTCTGCCGTGTGCTAGTGAACTGTATTGCCTACTCTTTGGTCTCCACAGTACCGGGAGTACAACAGATACACAGAGAGGAAGGAACTCTTGTACCAGGACTATGCTGTTCCTAAAGGGACACTAGTGCCCACTAGAACAACGACCTGAATCGGACCAAAGCCCAGCTACCCTGCTATCTCACTCCATAGAGCAAAACATAGGAGTTTTGATAGCTCCTTCTGAGATAATGAGGTGCTTTTCAGGCCTGATTATGGCCTGACCTGCAGAGGCAAACAAACAGCTCTTTCAGGGTTATTCAGCAAGTCAGAGCAGAAGAGAAGCAGAAGTTAACTTCCATTCTGCAGCTTAAGCCCCAGCCTCCTGATGAAGTCTGCCCACCCCTGCCCATTGCTGACTGAGGCAACCTCAGCAGGTTTTGCTGTAGTCATCTTTTGGCTTTGCTTTGGTCGCAGTTTTCATGCAGCTCTGGCTGTGTCGGACCAGAAGGTTCTGATCAGTGGAGGCTGCAATGCCAAGGGAGCCCTGCAGGATGCCTTTGTCTTCCACCTAGGTGAGTGACTTTCCCTCCCTGTTTCCATAGCTGAAGGTGAATATTGGGCTGCAGTGGTGTTTCTGAACACCTAGTCTGGTCCATTTGTTTCATCCCTTGCACTAGGAATGGGCTTGTCAGTATTGATAGCCCCTTTCTACTTCAGATACTCTTTCATGGAGCACGGTGATCCACCATGACCTCTGCTCTGTGCCCCGAGCTGGCCACACATTGCTTGACCTGACTCCTGCCCACCTGATGGATGTGGACAAGGAGAACAAAGAGGAGCATTACCTGCACACGGTGTTGGTCTTTGGGGGCTCCAACTGTGCCGGGACCTTTTACAACAGCACAGTCAAGATCCAGCTTGACCTAGGATAATGCACAATACTCAGAATGAGCCTGGAACAGCAAGGGCTCTTCACCAGCCTGAATACAGACATGGATGGCAATAAATGAGTCTAAGCGATGTGGCTGTCCAAGTATCTATATGTAGGTGAATGCTACCTTGGCACAAGAGATCATGGGTTTGTAAAGTCTTTCTGAAGGCTTTGTAAAGTCTTTCCTTCTGCCTTCTTAGGGTAGCTGATAGACAGCATCAGACTGGCAGAAATGCCCTCCCATATCCCTGACTTGGTACCTGGGTGCCAAAACATTCAGTGGGAGCTGAGCTGAGCCTGCAAGGGAACGCAGTCACAGGCTTCTGGGTTTCCCTTCTTGCCCTACAGGTTTCTGGGTGGGAGTTCCCAGGGTGCTTTCAGCTCTGAAGGTGACTCAGGTGTTGGGTTTCATTTGGGATGAGTGGAATGGGATTTACTCCTGCCGCTTGGAAGGTCCTCACGGTGAAAGTACAGGCATGATTCTGGTTTGGAGAGAATCTGGGGTGGGATTCCCTTGGGCAATAGTCTGCAGCTGAGGACTAGGAGAACACCTAGAGCAGCATCTGAGCATGGGAAAAGGAAGAGAACACCATCATTTTCAGCGTATGGGAGTGAGCTGGTTGTGTCTTGCTGACTATGGCACAACCACCTAGCTTTGCTCTAGACAGACCTTTATTATAAATTCTACAAGACTGCTGCTAGACATAAGGAAGACGTGCAAATCAGCTGTCCCAGGTAGTAATTCTCTTGTCATTGCAAGGGGTGGCAGAGTTGTTGACTGTTGGCTCTTGCAAGACCCACGGGACCCAACAAGGGTTGGGATTATGCTCTCTTCTGTCAGATACTAGCTCTTACTGTTTGTATCCATGGCACTGATGATTATGCTGTAGCTCTGAGGCAGCTGCAAGGTCAAGCAGGCCTGCTAGGTTAGTAGCACACTGTGTACACTGGTTCCCTGATGCTTTCTGTAGATGGTAGAAAGAAGCCCCTGTGAGGAGTCCAGAATTGGCTCAATGCCTCACAGTTGTTTGTCGCCACATTCCCCAACCCAAAGCCATACAAAGGGCACTTCTGATAGTTATGGATGCTTCTGCTTTAATCTGCTTCATGGAGATACATCAGATAGATAGAAAAAACATAGAAGTAGCTGCAAGCTTTCCAGCACAGGCATAGCTCCTGTAAGTCATCCAGGCTACTTCCAGGTCCTCTGTCCTTCTTCCCACCCGGATGAAAGTGAGACAATAGTACTAGGGCTTCCTGCTGGCACTGAAGTTCTACTCAAGCTGTAGCTGTTGTTCTCTTTGACACTACAGCTTACTTGATTTAATGAGTAGAAGGGCTTCAAGCTCGCAGCTCTGCTGGAGTATCTGGCTGCTGGGATGGGTGGCTTACTTTGAATGCCTCTAACTCCAGGAGAGCTTTGTTTATTCTAGTTATTGTGGGATATGGACCCATGTCCACTCTGAATCTGCAAAAGGAAAAGAATTTGTGAGGTACTATGAGGCGGACAGCCAGTGCAGCAGTGAGCAGAAGGGCAGAGCAGTGTGCTGTGCCTGCCCAGTATGGGAGAATCTCACAAGATGGGGTACATTTGCATTAAGAGAAAAGGTTCATCCTTGTAGGTTTAAAAAATACTAGAGGAAAGGTTAGTTAGTTCCTCCATCTTCACTAGGCTTTTACATAGTGTGCAACATGGGGTAAGAAGGCCCTATGCTTTTCCTAGCATCATGCAGCCACTACTTGCATAGGTTTAAGGCTTTCAACAAATATAGTCAAATTAATCTTTTCCCCCTGTGTGCAGTGTAAATATAGGGCAAACAGGGAGAGAGCACGTGGAGCGCGGGCAACCTTAGCTTTTCTAAGGATATAGATCAAGTTTCCTCAAGGGGCCTCTGAGAAGAGAGCACAGCTCCTTATTTCCAAGAGCTTCCAAAAGAGACAATATTTATGACATAGGAAAGCTCATGCAGAGAAGAATCCATAACTGGATAAGGCAGGTAGGAGGGATGCTTTCCTAACAGGCACAAGGAGCTGCAGAAGGTAAGCTCTGACAGCCCAGCACAAGGAGTAGGTTCCCTTGAAGAGTGCCTCAAGCTTAGCCTTAATTACCTTTCAGCATTGGAAACTTGCGGCACCAAGCACAGATCAGCCATGGAAACCTGCAAATGTAGCAGAGAAAAGGGGTCAGAGTAACTCAGAGCCTGTCCCATCACGCTTCACTATGGTGGCAGGTTTTGAGAGCAAGACAGAAATTATTTTATCAGCCAGTACAGAGGAGTTGTCACAACAATCACATTCTTTAATCCAGCATTGATAATATGACAATGGTACAAGGAAAGGAACTTCATAGCAGTCACTAGTAGAAGAAGCCAGCAGCCTTCAGGGAGCTTCATATTTACCAGCTGATCATGACAACCTCAAGGACACAGTGCTTCTATGGCAGCTGCCTCAGAGCAAACAAGTCTGCTGGCAAGCTGCAGAGGGCGGTGATGGAGGGAGGGGGAGTTTGCGTGGCTGGGAAAGAGATAAGTAAATTTTGCTTGTTTGCATTGCAGGCGTATCAAGCAGCTCCGGCCAATGTCAAGACCTGATATGTGATAGGGCCTTTGCACACAGGCTCAGGGACTTGCAATCTGAAAAGAAGACTCAAGGACAATACGGCTAGCTGCCTATCCGCACAGAGGCAGCTGCCACCACCCCACTCCCCAGGTCACAAAGCCCTGGGTGCCTTTCAGAGCACACATTACTCTCCAGCGTAAGATCTTGTAACTAGCCTTTGCCCACCAAGGGCTCCAGTTCCATAAGGCTCCTCCTAGACAATCCTCTGCATCACAGGATATTGCAGGAGCCTTCCTTTTTTCTCAGGCTTTTATAGGAAAGATGCAATTGCCTGCCAAACAGGACTACTGCCTGAGTGGCCTCTAGCTTGGTAAGGGTCAGAACAGCTCGTATGTGAGCTCTCTGAAATCTGTCCATGTTAAAATTGGACAAACAGAGATGAAAAATACAATACAACTTGGTTAAAGGTTCCACAGAGCAGAGCTAAGAACTGAACCTGTGTTTCTTCAGCCAAGCTTTGCCCCTGTGATAGGTCACTTTGAACTCCAAATCTCTTAAAGATGAAATATATATAATCTGTTTCCACATCCTCTGGTAGCATCCAGATCCTAGATACAGCTGCAGAATCTGGTCAGCAGCAGGTTATGGGCAGGGAGAAGTAAACATCTCCATAACTATTTGCAATTCAGTAATACATGTTGCCCAGAGAGGTGGTGGATGCCCCATCCCTGGAAACATTCCAGGTCAGGTTGGACGGGGCTCTGAGCAACCTGATCTAGTTGAAGATGTCCCTGCCCACGGCAGGGGGGTTGGACTAGATGACCTTTAGAAGTCCCTTCCAACCCAAACTATTCTATGATTCTATGATAATGGCCTAAGTAGGATCCATGCAGCTGTTTTTCTTTTGGTGAAGACACCGCATGTAACTCCAAGCACAAGATGGGGTTGTGCTATGTCTCCACAACTAATTTCCTTTCCTATTTTATGGAATATACCGGGGTTTTCAGTTCTCCAATGGTACACAACACTCTCTCAGATACTTACTTCATCCCCCACAGAGTAGCGCCCAGCAGTGTGCTGCAGAATCTGCTCCAGCGCTGTCAAGAGAGGTGGTACACTGGAGTGAGGCATTGGAAACTGATTTGAAAGGGACACCAAAGACCTTTTAGACTGGGAATTATGAACAAGGGCATTTTGAACCTGAGCTGAGTATGAAAAAGGAGCAATTTGGGACAGAACCTAGAAAAAACAGAAATCTTACAACAGCATAGTTATGGGAGTCTTTAGGGTTCTTCAGCTTTTTGGGACCCAGGGTGATTTCAGATGCTTCAGGTAATGCACCTGAAATACTAAGAGGACAATGTAGAGATATGTGAGTGGGGAGGGGAAAAATGCAAAGGAACAGTCAGTTTGCATCTGTCCAGAAGCGAAGATGGGCCTGCCATTCCAGCACATGGGGGAAAGGGTTTTGAGGAAACAAAAAGCACTCTATTTCTCCCAGGGAGGTAAAGAAATGCTCTGCTACTTGCTAGATTCTGTGGGAGTTTGCCATCAGATATCTTTTGTCTGATTACAAAAGCATATAAATATAGATTGATAGAACTTTAAAGCAAAAGGCACTAGTTTGGGAGTAGCTGGGTGGAAAGGAGAAGTGCTATCAGCCCTCACGCTTCAGGGTGAATCAACTGCTGCTGTATACAGGATGGCCCCTCCTCTTCCATGCGCAGCAGTGGAAGCGCCCTGTGGACAGCATCTTTCCTCCGAGACCTTGGAGAGCTACCAGTCCTGGACAAGGCACCCTAGTCAGGAAGAGCATTTTCTCTGCCAGCAGGGCAGTACCCCAGCATGCCAGCCTAGGGAGATCTGTTCTGCTTGAAGAGGTGCTGTGTTTCAAAGGGTCGGTCGAAGTGCTGATCATTTTGTATGTGGGACGCACCTTGAAAGCCAGATGCGATGCAGTTCTGAGCCCATTCCATTTTTTTCTCCCCCATTTGTTTCAGGACGCTCAGGTTCTGCCAAGGCAAGCAATCTCCAGATTAGATTGACCTCTGCTGGCTGGATCTTGCCTACTGCCTCATCCAGTGGGGGAGAGGGGAGATAAGGAGTTGCCAAGCCTGAACCCCCAGCCTGAGTTCAGCCTGCTGGATCAGCCCTGACCTCACCCTCACCGAATCACGCACCCTGCTGTATCTCTCTCAGGACTGTCCTTCTGTAACAGCTGCCAGGGTATCCCTTTGCCCCTGCCCTTCGGGTTGCTCAGTTGTCTTCTTCCTAAAACATCCTAGACCCAGCAGTGAAACCGTATGGGTTCAGCTGTTTCTGGAAAGAACCCTGGGGTGCTATAGGATTTTCTTTGTAGGAAATACTGTATTGTAGCCATTGGTAGATCAGGCAGAGGCTAAGCAGAGATTTCATCTGCTACACACAGTCTTGAGGTCTGCCACTCTATTGGCTGGCAACAATTTAAAGAGACTGAGCTTTTCAGAGATACAGACTCCTGGAAACCCATCCTGGTTTTCTTATTTGCATGGATGTGAGAAGGCAATACCTGGAGTGGCTGAATGCCGGAGACAATGTGATCGGCGATCATTCTGACTTGGGCTCTCTTCTTCGGATCTTGGGGCAGGAGTCTGGGGTTAGGACGCGTGTCTTCTAGGTAATGAATTATAGCTAGCTGTAATGAACAAAGAGATAAGAGGAGGTTATTGGAAAGCCAAGGAAAAGTTCACATCCTGAACACCTGGGAAAGAGAATACAACAGCTTTTGAATGAAGTTTGTTACCAATCCAAGCAACAGAATATCCCCTTTGATGTCTGCTTGGGACTTTGTTGTCATTTAGCCTAGCTGTAGTTTCAGGCAAACCATGGCACAGCCATCTAAGTCAGACTACAAACTGCTCAGTGAAAGGTGGAGTTATGAACCAAAGCTGAATTGAGCTATTGATTTATCCGTGACAACAGTTTCCCAGCAGAGGCTATGTGCTATTTCTGCCCCCAAGTGGGATTGTTTATCACAAATGCCATCTCTTTTCCAATGCACAGATGAGAGCTCTGGGGGAAAAGATGGGGCAAAGCCATCCCCTCCAGACTGGGCAAGCAGGCTGGAGTGAGTGGTTAACAGGGATGTGGCTGGTAACTCACCGACTGAGAAAGGGTGATGCCATCAATTTTCAAGGCTGGGACTTGCTGCATTGGATTCACTGCCTTGAATTCAGCAGAAAACTGTGGAAACAAACCTGAGATTACCGCAACAAGAAATTCTTCTTCCTTGTTTTCTTCCCCTAGAATCCAGTTACCAAATTATTTTTTTTTTTTACCTGGCTTTTCCCTCTACCTCAGTGCTAACATTTGCAGTAAGTTATGCTGTACTATTAGCCTACAGCAAGCTCTCACTGGGGCTCAGGGATCACTGCATCCAGGGCCGGACTGCCTTACCTTTTGATAAACCATCAATACAAAGCCCAGGATGGGTGGTACTGCAGCAGTGTCACTATTACTGTTCTAGTTCTCCAACTCTGTCTTAGCCCATATTGGCACATCAAGCCGGTGGTACTACTAGGTGCACAACTCCCTGCTATGGCCCCCCAAATAAGTTCTCAGTGAAGATCTCTTCTGGCAACCCACCCTTTCTTTGGCAGGCCCTTTGCAGCCCCTTGCTATATCATTTAGCATCTTTTGGGAACACACCCCCTGCCACACACACACTTTCTGGTGCTAATTGAATGAGGTCCAGTCTGTTTAAATTGCATTGCAGCTTCTCTGAAGTCTGTGTGTTCACAGACTCTGAACAGACTCATACCCGGCTCTGAAGCCAGGTATGTTCAGTTATATCATGCTAAGCAGGAGCAAAAGATCTTCAGCCTTATGAAATTCAGTCACAGATGTTTAAGAGAGAAAAAAACCTTTAGTCTCCTGCAGCCATCTTCTCCCTTTGTCTTGCATGCCAGGGAATACTGGCTGAAAGCAACTATTAATTACACAGAAGCGGTGAGGAATTCAGTGACTTTGCCTGTGAACTTTCTAGTACTAATCCCAATTGTTCCAGTGATCCCCAAGTTCAGTACCCCTGGAGAGAGCAATGGTAGCTGTATTCTTACCTGCTGTCCCCCGTCCTTCAGGAGGTTCACTGGCACCAGGTCATAGGAAATCCCTTTCAGAGCCAGTGCTAGGGAGAACAGAGTATACAGCTTCAGACAGGCAGACTGAGACCATTTTCATTGGTAGTGAGCTCAGGGAAATGTTACCATCTCCACTTGAAAAAAGAATGGCTTTAAAACCAAAAAAGACCCTATCCCTTAAGAAAGGTGGCCTGAATCCACCGAGAAGGTAGTGCTCTGGCAAATGAAGGACCAAAGCACTAAAGATCGGTCCTGGCAAAAACACTTCATTTTCAAAATAAGCTCTGCCACTCTTTGCAGCACAGCCCCTCCTGATTTGACTTATAGAGGGCAGGGGGCTCTGTGCTCACCTGCAAAACCTTGCTTAAGACTGCCTCAGTTCAAGTAGGGACCATTCCCAGTCCTGCTTAACTCTCAAGACCTGGGCAGACCAGAGTCTGAGGCAGTATCCACGTAAAAACAGAGTGTAGGGCCCCTCTAGATAATGTGGAAGAAACAGCCATCTGCATCATGTTAGCTTTACAAAGCTGCAGGCTGAGCAAAACCCTCCTGTCCGTTCCTCTCCCTTCCCCCTGCTCTAGGTAAGCTGTGGTATTCCCTTCCCTCCCACTGGGGAAATACCTCACTGTTCCAGGTTCACGTTTGCTGATCTCTTGTCTTAATAAGTGACTGATTAATTGGGTTAGTGAAGGGGAGGATACTGCAGTAACACCAAAACAATAAAAGAGAGATCAACACTGGATCTTACCAATTCTCACTCTCCAAGAGCAGGAACTTCGGAAATAGCTATAAAGTATCGGCTGAGAAAAGAATGAGATAAAGTGGTTATATGGTGAGAACACCAGAGTGTTGTAAGGAGAACAATGCATGAACAGAAGGCATTTCAGAAACTGTAAGACAGGGACGAGCAACATTTGGGGGAGAGAGGGCTCCTTTCTGAAAGTGACAGTTCCTGGTTTTGAGTGTACAGGTAGTATCACTGTCTTTCATGCTGGCCCTCTGAATATTTAGTTGCACCTGATGTTTCCAGCAATGCACAACTGAGTTTAAAATTATCCCCTACAAAGCTTCCCTCTTTGTCCCTATCAGATGTTGCTAACTTCTATGCCATCTTAGATTTTTGAAACAAATTCCCTGCTGATTGGGCCGAGCGCCTGCACTGGCTATTTGCGTGGCATGAAATAGCTTTTCCAGCCATGGAAGGCAGGGCCAGGCCTCTTTCCAAACAAGAAGAGCTTCTGCTGTTTGAGATGAAGGCCAAGAGGGCAGACAATTCATCTCTATCTGAACTCTAGCACCAAGGCAGCTTTCCCGGACGCTTCCACCCTGTCCAAGCTCTCACCTTTTCAGATGCCATGGTCAGTGTGTGCAATCTACTCCAGGAAATAAAAACAACCTCTTCGCTTTCCCTTTTAACTCAGCTGGGACAGGGGAAGGCTTCTCTCCTAAAGCCAATGAGAAAAGGACTATGCCCCCAGATCTGGTCCCAGGACACAAAACCCAGCCAGTCAGATTCAATCCTGAGCAACTGCAGTCAGCTGCATTCACATCCCTGTGTGTTGTGCTGCAGCCCCAGCCGTGATATCAGAACCATTAACCAGCTTTGAGGTTGGAAGCACATTTAGCAACCATCCTTATTTCCCTAGTTTTTTTGTCCAGAAATAAATATCTAGTGAGCCTGTCAGGCTCTCAGCAGTTGCCAATGCAGAAATATATAGAACAAAACAAGGAAACTGAAGCCACGTGCAGAATTTCTGTTTCACTAGGGAATGACTGCCAGCTCCCTGGACAGGGGCTGCCTTTGTGGGGAGGTCCCTTTGGGTCCTCCTGGAGCCCTCCTCCCATCAGTACCAGCCAGTGCAGAGGGTTTTCTACGTTGCAGGCCTGGGAGAGGCTGCTACTTTGCTTCTGGGCCAACTTTGTGCAAAATACGAAGCTCGCTTTTTTGTGTTATGGTCTTTTCTTTCCACACAGGAAATTGGTACTCATGCATGTCTCTAAATAAACCCATAATCATGTCTCTCCTTCCTTCCATAGATCCCATGGCGTGCCAAGGATGTTTCCGTCTCTCCACCCTCCCAAAATGCATAGAAATTATACCAGAGGCTGACAGCAAGGCAGAAAAAGGCAGGGATTGGTTCACTGACACACAATCTGTCAACAGAAAACCAGAGAGACCCTGAGGATCTCTGTGCTCCAGTCCTCTTTGTAAACTTGATGCTTCTCTTACAGTTTAGATTGGTTCAAATATCTTCAAATGAGGTATGCATTTGATTAAATTACTCTCGTCAAAATCTACTGGAGAAATGGTTTATAAGTGAGGAGGGAAGTGATGGCAGTATTGGCAACACTTGTGGACAAAGTATTTACTGATTTTTTCAAATTCTCTGCTTCTGGAATCAGTGCATTAGAAATCTCAGCTATGCTTTTTTTTTTCAAATGTCTAGCCTGCCGGGTTGCAGGGAAAGAAACAGAAACTATGACTTCAAAAGAGAAACATACAGCATTCATGATGTATTTTTACTTGTTTTTCCTGGGGACCTTGATGATTTTTTGGCTCAGAAATTCATGTCCTTCACCACATCTGTTTTGGGCTCTGGCCTCTCAGCTGGCAGAGACACTTCTCCTGATCCTCTCTACAGTTCTTTGTTGTTTTTGCAGCCTGCACTACAATTTGTAATAAACTGTGCTAAGCTAATTGCTTTGCTCTAGAATTTCAAGGCCCCAGGGGATTTCACCAAAAAGAACATGGAAAACAACCCATCCCTCAGCTGGGAACTGTGTCTCCGAGGCTGGGGCCTGGAGTGATCTCTTAAGTTCATGCTGTTTTGCTCCCAGCAGCAGGGCAGATCACAGGCAAAACAATCAGCTACGTAAAGACTAGAGACAGCAGGAGTGTTTTGTCCTCAGTGGACAGGTCCCAGAATGGCATTATGTCTAGTCCTTCTTGGAGGAAAAGCTCAGCATGGGCGAGGGAAGTAGCGGGGAAGAACTGCCTCCATTTACAATCCCGTGGGGTACAATCCCCATAAGCTGCAGGTTAGATCAGTGGGAGCTGGGAGGATAGCAAGAGGACAACATCTGCTTCATGTCTACTGAGACTTCTGGTTTGGTTCTGTTTTCATGTCCAGCATCAGTGGTGCAGTGAGGAAAGTTTGGGCTTAAATCCTAATCCAGAGTAAAAATCTGGGAATTGCATTTCACTGTTTAGGAATGTCCTGGTTTCAGCAGGGATAGACTTAATTTCCTTCTTAGTAGCTGGTACAGTGCTGTGTTTTGGATTTAGGATGAGAACAATGTTGATAACACACCGATGTTTTAGTTGTTGCTAAGCAGTGCTTACACTAGTCAAGGACTTTTCAGCTTCCCATGCTCTACCGACTGAGAAGGCTGGAGGTGCACAAGAAGCTGGGAGGGGGCACAGCCGAACTGGCCAAAGGGACATTCCATACCATGCGACGTCATGCTCAGTACATAAACTGGGGAAAGCTGGCCGGGGGAGCCGCTGCTCGGGGACTGGCTAGGCACCGGTCGGCGGGTGGTGAGCAATTGCATCGTGTATCACTTGCTTTGTGTACTATTATTACATTATTATTGTTGTTATTTTATTTCATTATTAAACTGTTTTTATCTCAACCCATGAGTTTTTCTCACTTCTACTCTTCCAATTCTCTCCCCCATCCCAGCCGGGGCAGGGGGGAGAAGTAAGCGAGCGGCTGTGTGGTACTCAGTTGCCAACTGAGGTTAAACCAGTTTCTGGATATGGTCAGTGGGCTGCCTGTGCAGCATCACCCGGGGTACTCCCAGCGCTAATGCTTTTCGCCAAAGGTTGTTCCTTCCTAGATTGTGAGCTTGATCCGGTCTATCTCGGGAAGGTATGGGCTCCCTGCAGGGATGCTGTCAGGGCCGGGGGTTTTGGCTGGCTTGTCGACCCCTCCTATCACTTCTACTCTTCCAATTCTCTCCCCCATCCCACTGGGGGTCGGGGGGGAGAAGTAAGCGAGCGGCTGTGTGGTACTCAGTTGCCGACTGAGGTTAAACCACGACAAGGAAGATGAAAGAGACACCCCAAACTTTGTGTGTTGAGCTCTCAGGTTTCCAAGCCTGCCTGCTTCAGTATGGTCTCCTCTGGATACCACCCCTTTCCAGGCTATATTCGGGATGCACTTGGAAAGGCAAAGTCTTTCACGTGTTTCCTGAGACCCATCACTCCAAGCAGCCTGCACACACGGACTGATGCTGAGCAGCTGCCCATGTGGGACACGAGAGAGAAGAATGCTCCTTGGAGGCTTGTGTAGGGGAAACCTCAGCGTCTGACAGGCACCACTTCTGTTCTGCTGGGTTAAAATGTAAAGGTATAAGCAGAAGGAACAGGTTTGCTCCTAAACTCTCAGTATCTCTGCAGCAGGCGTTGGTGTTAACAGCTCACATGGATAAACTATCTTAAGTAAACACTACCACTGCTTTGAAAAGCATTAGTTTTATTTAGCACAGGCGCAAATTCCTAGCTCTCCACTGAGACAGAGACGTGGGTGCAGGCCGGAGCAGCAGAAATCTACTTAAGACACGCCGTGCACCGGGGTCAGTCCTCTCAGTCACCACCATCCCGGCTTCTCCGGGGAGCCCAGGGCACCAGAAGCTGATTTAGGCCGCGATCCCAGTCA